GCTACCAGAGCTCCTTTATACATATATATTTGTGATATAACCATAAATTTACCTAACCATTAGAATACCAGGAAAGAATCACTTTAAATGCTGTAGAAATGCTCAGTACATTAGTAATAGAGGAATCTTCCTCAACTGAAAAAAAAAAATCTATAAAGTAATACTTATGGTAAAAGATACTTTTTCCCCTATGATTTGGAACAAGACAAAAATGTCTGCTTTCACAATTCCTATTCAGAACTATACTAGATATTCTAGCAAGTATAATGAAGAAAGAAAAATAAGTAGAAGGCATAAAGAAAATAAAAGAAGAAATTTGGTGTTGCTGTTATTAGGTGTCATTGCATCTGTATGGACTCATGCACAACAGAACAAAACAGTGCTCAGTCCTGGGCCAACGTCATAGTTGTTGCTATGTCTGAGCCCACTGCTGTTGTCACTGTGCCAATCGATCTCACTGGTGGTCTTCCTATTGTTTTTGGACCAATTTAACAAACATGATATCCTTTTGAGGGACTGGTCCCTCCTGACAATATGTCCAAAATATGAGAGATGAAGTTTGGCCTCCAAGGAGCACTCTGGCTGTACTTCTTCCAACACAGATTGGTTTGTTCTTTTGGCAGTCCACAGTAATTTTATTATTCTCCTCCAACACTGTAACTTAAATGCATCAATTCTACAGTCTTTCTTATTCAGTATCCAGCTTTCATGTGTATATGAAGTTATTGAAAATACCATGGCTTTGGTCAGGTGCACCTTAGTCCTCAAACTGACATCTTTGCTCTTCAACTCTTTAAAAAGTTCGTGTGCAGATTTGCCCCGTATCATTTGACTTCTTGACTGCTGCTTCCAAGTATAATGAAGAAAGAAAAATAAATAAAAGGCATATAGAAAATAAAAGAAGAAATTTGTTGTTGCTGTTATTAGGTGTCATTGCATCTGTATGGACTCATGCACAACAGAACAAAACAGTGCTCAGTCCTGGGCCAATGTCATAGTTGTTACTATATCTGAGCCCTATATACTGCTTCCATGGTTGAGCCAAGCAAAATGAAGTCTGTGACAACTTTAATCTTTTCTCAACTTATATGGATGTTGTTTATTGGTCCAGTGGTAAGGATTTTTGTTTTCTTTACACTGAGATGCAAGCCATATCGAAGGCTTTGGTCATTGATCTTAATCAGTACGTTAAGTCCTCTTCGCTTTCAACAAGCAAGGTTGTATCATTTGCATATTGCAGGTTGTTAATGATTAGTCCTCCAAACCTGAGGACACATTTTTTTTTTCATATAATCGAGCTTCTCAGATTATTTGCTCAGCATACAGATTGAATACGTATGGTGAAAGAATATAACCCTGGTGCATACCTTTCCTAATTTTAAGCCATTTGTTGTTCCCTTGCTTGAACAACTGTCTCTTGGTCCATGTACAGGCTCCTCATGATAACAAATAAGTGTTCCGAATACTCAAACTTTGCAATGTTGTCCATAGCTTGCCATGATCCACAAAATCGAAAGCCTTTGTATAGTCAATAAAGCACAGGTAAACATCTTTCTGGTATTCTCTGCTTTCAGCCAATATCAATGTGATGTCAACAATGATATCCATCTATGTCCTCTTCTGAATACAGCATGAATCTCTGGAAGTTCTCTGTCAATGTATGGTTGGTAGCTGTCTTGCATTACCTTTAGTAAATATCTTTAGTAAAACTTTATGGGATATCAATGATATTGTCTGATGATTTCCGCATTCCGTTGGGTCACCTCTCTTTGGAATGGGTACAAATATAGGTAACTTTCAGTCAGCTGGCCAGGTAGCTGTCTTCCAAACTTTTTAGCATAGATGAGTGAGCGCCTCCAGTGCCGCAACAGTTTGTTGAAAGATTTAAATTTGTATTCTATCTGTTTCTGGTGCCTTGTTATTTGTCAGTGTCTTCAATGCACCTGGGAACTTCTTCCTTCGGGATCTTTGGTCTTGATCATATGATACCTTTTAAACATTGACCATTTCTTTTTGGTAAAGTAACTCTGTGTTTTCCTACCATCTTTCTTCTTTTGATGCTTTCTGCATCATTCAGTATTTTGTCCATAGAATCCTTCAATATTGCAAGTTGAGGTTTGAACTTTTCTTCAGTTCCCTTAGATTGAGAAATGTTGACTGTGTTCTTCCCTTTTGGTTTTCTAACTCCAGGTCTTAGTACATTTCATTATAATATTTGACTTTGTCTTCTCAAGCTGGATCTTTGAAATTGTCTGTTCAGCTCTTTTGCCTCCTCACTTCTTCCATTTGCTTTAGCATCACTATGCTGGAGAGCAAGTTTAAATGCCTTTCTAACATCCATTTTGTTTTTTTCCTTCTTTCTTGTCTTCTCAATGACCTCTTACTTTCTTCCTGTATGGTGTTCTTGATGTTATCCCACAACTTCTCTGGTCTTTGATTATTAGTGTCTAACGCATCATATCTGTCCTTCAAATGATCTCTAAATTCAGGTGGGATATATTCAAGGTCATATTTTGGTTCCTATGGACTTAATTTTCTCCAGCTTCAGCCTGAATTTGCATATGAGCAATTGATGGTCTGTTCCACAGTCTGTCCTTGGCCTTGTTTGGCTGATGATATATGGAGCTTTTCCACTATCTCTTTCCACAGTTGTTGTCAATTTCATTTCTGTGTATTCCATCTGGTGACGTCTGTTTGGATAGTTGTCTTTTATACTGTTTAAAAAAGGTATTTGCAATGAAGAAGTCAATGGTCTTGCAAAATTCTATCATGTGATTTACAGCACCATTCTATCACCAAGGCCATATTTTTAAACAACTGATCCTTCCTTGTTGTTTTCAACCTTTGCATTCCAAATCAGCAGTAATTAGAAATACATCTTGATTGCATGTTTGATCAATTTCAGACTGAAGAATCTGAGAGAATTATTCAATTTCATCATCACTGGCTTTAGTGGTTGGTGAATAAATTTGAATAGTGGTAAATAACTGGTCTTCCTTGTAGGATATTATATTATCCTATCACAGACAGTAGTGTACTTCACGATTGGTCTTAATATGTTCTTTTTGATGATGAATGTTATGCCATTCCTCTTCAATTTGTCCATTTCCAGCACAGTAAACCATGTGATTGTCAGATTCAAAATGGCCAATACCAGTCCATTTCAGCTTACTAATGTCTAAGATATTGATGTTTATACATTATATTTCATCATGTTTCAATATTCAATAATCTGGTGCTGACAATGTCACACTGCTATTCATTAGGTTTTCTGTGACTAAATATTTGGAAACAGTCTGTCCTTCGTCCTAGTCTGTCTTAGTCTGGAAGCTCAGCTGAACCCTGTCCACCATGGGTGACCCTGCCAGTATTTAAAATACTCATGGCATAGCTTCCAGAATCATAGCAACACACAAGCCACCATAGAATGACAAACTGACAGACGAGTGTTGGAAAAGAAGAAATAAAACTCTCTAGTCACAGATGGCGCCATACAACGAGCACTGGACTGCAAATTACAAGGTCCAAGGTTCAAGTCTACCAGCCTCTCCACTGGAGAAAGATGAGGTTTTCTGCTGCTACGAAGATTTAAAGCCTTGGAAACCCTATACAGGGTTGCTATGAGTTGGAACAAACTCGATGGCATTTAACAACAATTCACAGGTAGGAGCCTTGTAGTGCAGTGGCTTAGAAGTTGGTCTGTTAACCACAATGTTAGAAGTTTGAGTCCACAGGCACTCCATAGAAGAAAGATGAGGCTTTCTATTCCTTTAAATATATACAGACTAGAAAGTCCTATATAGGGTCACTATGGGTCAGAACCAACCTGATAGCACTTAACAACAAGCTTCACAGACAACATGATGATCTACTTAGAAACCTAAGAAATCTACATAGTAAAAAAAAAAAAAAAAAGCTAACAACAAAATCTAGAAATGTCAATAGAAACAATGCTCATATACAAAAAAGATTGTATGATGGGGGATTCAAAATGTTCATGGAAAAATAGAATTAAGAGATAATGGCATTTTCCCACAAATTTTCTGGACTCCCCTTGTATTTGTATATACTACAAATTGAATTTTTAAAAAAGCACCATTTATAATTGCACCAAAAAAACATGAAATACTTAGGTAAAAATCTAACAAATTATCTACATGGCATGAATGCTGAAAACTATAAATCACAGATGAAAGAAATCAAAGTGGATTTTAAATAAATTGAGAGGTTCATCATTCTCAAGTAATATAAGGTTCAAAATTGTTAAGATGTCTGTTTTCCCCAACGTGAATTTCAGATTTAACATAATCCAAATAAATACCCTAGTAAATTATTTTCCCCCACTTTGGTAAAAATCAAGTAGGATTCTAAAATTTATACAGAAAGATAAAGGAAGTAGAATAGCCACGCTAATTTTGAAAAATAAGAACCATGTTGGAGGACTCACACTTTCTGATTCTGACACATAAAATAAGGCTAAAATAAACATGGGCGCTCAGTGGTGACATACAATAAGCACTGGACTGCCAACCACAAGGTTGGTGGTTTGAGCTAACCAGCTGCTCCATAGGAGAAAGATGAGGCCTTCTGTTCCCACACAGATGTACAGCCTCAGAAACCCTTTTCAGGGTTGCTATGAGTTGGAATGGACTCAAAAGCACTTAACAACAACAAACAATAAACAAGGTTATGTGGTATTGGTCAAAGGACACCAGTGGAAGAACAAAGAGAGTATAAATAGGCCATACTGAACTGCTAACCACAAGGCTGGCAGTTCAAACCCATCAGTTACTCCTCAGAAATGCTATACAGGGTCACTATGAGTCAGAACTAACGCAAGGGCAATTAACAACAACAACATACATAATGAATTGATTCTCAAAAGTATAAAGGATATTCAATGTTTAGTAGAAATTGTAAACAATCATTCCAAACCAGTAGGCTGATTATCTTTAAGCATTTCTCAGGGTATTATAAAAACAAATATCAAAAGGTGAATTCTTTTGTTAAAAAGTACAGAAATGTTGAGATGAAATGGATATAAGACTAGAAAATTGACTTCAGTGAATTTGGAAAAGGATGTACTCAGGAACCTGGTAGCAAAAGTTTGGAGCAATGCAGACAGATAAAGTCAAAGAGCCAATCAAGATTTGACAGTATGGTTTTGAGATGGGGCAGGTCATCTTGGTCCTTGCTTTGTGTTAACAACTTTGTTAGCTTATACATTTAACAAATGTTTATTGAATAGCTACTATGTATGAGGCTCTATGTTGGTGCTGAAAATTATGATTTCTAAGGCACAGTTCTTTCTAGGAACATGTTCAGACTAAGCACATAACTGGGCTCCAGGTCCCAAGCCAGGTGCTTTATGTTATACCTCATTTAGTCACCCCATTGAGACAGGTACTGCCAGTACAGCTTAGATTACAAATTGCCCAGCAGAGCTATACTCCGACCAGGGTATGCTGCTTCCAGATGAAAGATACAAAGAAAAACACTAACTAAACTAGGATATGGTACAGAGAGTCTCACTAAGAATCAAAAAATTACATTTGTGAAAAACCTGAATGACAGAAATAGTCTATGGCATTCTGAATGCCGCAGGTTCTGAAAAAGCATATAGAAGGCAATTTTAAAGAGAAAACAATAGGTTATCTGGTATCTATGACTGCTGCAGCATAATATGTTTAAGAGGAAAAAAAAAATACAAAAAGTCTTACACTCGATATACGCATATACTAACAGGTCAAAATGACACATGAAAAGGAACTGAAACACTCCATACACAGGGTAGACAGGGATAGGCAACTTGGACATTGGCTACCCAAAATGGGGGTACTTCAAAGGCAAGAAGTGACTGGCTTACAAGCTTTCAAGAGGGAATCTAGATCCAGAGGGCGTGGAGGAAGGTAGAATCTCCACTGAGTAGTATCCAATCTGTCTAGGCAGGACTGATGAAAAGAAATACAGATAGGTCTCTTGTGATACAATAGTGATTGTTATGAGGACTGCTTGTGAGGGTTGGAAATGTAAAGGTAGATGTTTTGTAGCAAGGAGGGGAGTGATTAACTTTGCAGTCTAGGAGCGGAGGTCCCTGGGACCATCAACGGAGAAGAGCGGAGAGCGGGACCCTACCCAGAGAAGCAGTAATGCCAGAGATGAAGGCAGAGATGATGACGTGGAGAGATGGAGCTGGAGCAGCTGGGGACTTTAGACCCAGAGAGGCCGAGGGGCTGTGTGCTGATGACTAGGGGACAGACTTGCAGGGTATATATGCCCTTTGTTGGCTGATGATGCATGGAGGGGATTGTAACCATGGCAATGAAACGATATTGATAATATGAATGGATAACTAATGTTCTCCCATGTAAACTATCACATAATCACAATAAAACATTAATAAATAAATAAATTGAAACAAAATCATTATAATTCCTAGATGTTAGGAGGTGCTTCTGTCCTAACCTGTGTTTTAATGTTTTCAGGATCCTCAGCTTGACTGTCTCGTTTTTGGCTGGGTTTCCAGGCATTCTCCGCCTTTTTTAGATGCACGTCTTCTTTGACAGAGACTGTGATGATCTTCCTGGGTTCTCTCCTCTGGCCAGGTTGAGATCTCCGTGGTACAACATTCAACAACTAGGGAAAGAATATTCTTTATTATATCAACTCATAATACTTAAAATTAACTGTGTCTTTTGTGCTGTTCAAGACAAGTTTGCTGATCATTACACCAAACACTTCAAGAGGCAAAGATAAATATTCGGCACTCAAGTTAGAGGTGCTCTTTAAAAAAAAAAAAAATTATTTATCTGTTCAGACCACCATCAAAAGTTAGAATTTCTGTGCTATACAAACCAATTTTTTCAGATGCATCCAACTAAGGACAAAAAAAATAATGATATGACTCAAGACCATTTGCTAAGTATTAAAATAACTCAGAGGCCAAATAAACCCGGAAGTAGCAGTCATGGCATAGCTAAAAGAGAACTAAAGACTGGAAAAGTACCTACCAACACAGAATAATTGCTAAACTAGATTATTACTACTACAAGAATATTTATTTGTAACTGGAACTCTGATATGGTAGACCAGACAAAACAATTCTGGTTAGAAAACAAATCAAAACAATGTATGGCTCACTAATTCACGTTATAGTCTCACATGAATAAGTACTATCTACTTCAATGCTTGGATAAAGTACAAGTATATGATTATATCATGAGACACTGAATCTAATCCATGCATTTGGACACAAACATTTATCAGGAACAAAGGTTTTCAGGCGTAAGTAGAGATCAAATTATATAAAAGCGATGTTTCTATTGTTGTGTGCCATCTAGATGGTTCCAACTCAGCAAACCTGTATAGAGTTTCTGAGTCTGTAAATCTTTCTAAGAATCTTTACAGACCCAGAAAGTCTCATCTTTCTTTTGGGTTGCAGCTGATGGATCTGAACTTCTGACCCTCCAATTAACAGCCCAATGTGTAGAAAACCATTACACCACCTGGTCTCCAATAAGAGTTATATTGTTGTTAAATACTGCTGAGTTGGTTCCAACTTGTAATAACCTTGTATAGGGTTTCCAAGGAGCAGTGGTGGGTTTGAACTGACAACCTTTTGTCTAGCACTCTAGTGCTTATACTACAGTGCCACGTAATTTGGAGGAGAAAATTTTTACATTGTTTGGAGAAAGAAGATGTCCAATTCAAAACACAACTTCAATCATCAATGAATACGTGTTGAAATTTGAATTTGGAAGTTTGACAGATACAATTTACACCATATTTCTTTACCTGTCCCATCACAAACATGTGACTTTCAAGCAAGTAGCACAGAGATATAAGAAATTCTAAGTATGCAGCAATAGTGCTTCTAAACAAAACGTCTTAAAAAGTTATCTGAAAAGACACTAGTCTAAGATAAGATACTTGCAATTATAACCCAGGTGCAAACTCTCAGAAAGAGCTCTGGTGGCATACTGGTTAAGGCTGGTGGTTCAAACCTACTAGTGACTCTAGGGAGAAAGATGTGGCAGTCTGCTTCCACATAGATGAAACTTGGAAACCCAATGGGGCAGTTCTACTTTATCCTATAGAGGCACTCTGAGTCACAATCAACTTGATGACAATGGGGTTAGTTTGGCAGCCTTTCAAGATACCTTTATAATTATATGTATTTATATTTCTAGATATAACCACTCACAAAGATTATATATCTAAATATATTGGTGATTGTTTGTGGTTGTTACCATTTAGTAGGTTCTAACTCATAGGGCCACCACACGTCTATCAGTTTGTTGTACTGTCATGGCTTGTGAGCGACTGTGATTCTGGAAGCTATGCCACTGGTATTTTAAATACCAGCAGGGTCACCCATGGTGGACAGGTTTCAGATGAGCTT